AAAAAAAAAAAAAAAAAAAACAACTATATAGAAGACTTTTAAAATCCGGCTCCTCTCCCAGTCTCTCGCCTGCTTCTGCAGTGTTCAGAATCTCTCAGCTGACCTCAGAGCACCTGGCCTTGTTCCAGGAAAGCATGATTCAGTCTGTTCCCAGCCTCGCCCTCGGCCCCACCCCTGCCGCTCAGTGAGCACCAACCCACCCGCTGCGCTCTGCGCACACAGAAGCGCCCCTCCCTCCAAAGCGGGGAGTCACCAGTGGGCTGTGGGGTGCAGGACTCAAAGACTCAAGAGTGCAAAGGGTAAGACACGGAGGGGAAGCCCTGGACAGACGGACTGTCTTGCTGTGTGCTCAGCCTTCTCTCCTCCTCCTTCTGTCTTCCTTACTCTCAATCTATCTAGAAATAGACCTAATTATGGGGGTGAAAACACTGAATCGGTAGAGTACTGAGAAGAACCGCTGAGATGGAGCGCATTCCACACTCGCTTATCTCCAACATCCTGTGAAACAAACAAGGATGTCTTTCCTGTAAAACTCATAGGATCTCATAAACTTTTATTGAACAGCTACACTGTGCCCTTCCAGACAAAGGAGGAGAGGCAAAACTGAGGACTTGGATTATGAGGGATTAGGTTGCAAAGTAGCCACATGAAGAAAATAAATGAAGACCCATAGATGGACAGGGCCTCACAGCCACACTCCGGTCTTTTTCCTACAACCAAATGTCCCTTAACTATTGCACATATGTATCCGTCATTCAAACGAACGACACCAACAGTGTCAAGAATCCAAGAGCCCTGGAAACCAACAATGCTGAGACCCAATGTTACCAAATACACCATAATTTTAAAGAACGTAAAATGTGCCTTGCATGTTCTTTAATTATAAGGACACAAATTATGTTCCCATATCAGACTTCAAAGTACGTGTTGAAAATGAATAGAGGCAGAGTTTTTGTCAGTACTTACCAGAATATGGGCTGTCGGATTATTTTCTTGGGTCTGACCCAAATTCTGCTGCTTCTGCTTTTCTGAGTGAAATTCCTTAAGACTAGAAAAGGCTTAAAATGCCAGGGACAGAGCACAGGTCCCCAGCCTGGCTCTGTCAGGGACCCAGCTCTGCTATTCTATGGAAGCAAACTGGGAGACAAAGACGGCACTGGAGAGCACACTGCAGAGGAACCCCTCGAATCCACGTAGCAGACTTGCCCAGTGCCCGCGGTGGGGACGGGGTGGGACGAGGTGGGGAGGAGAGGAAGTACTCTGTCCTCCCGCTCTGCTCAGACACAGAGACCAACTGTTCTGATCTCCCGTCTTCTGGGAGAGCCAGGACTCAAAATGAACTTTGAAACCCTCGGAAAAGAGGTTCTGCCACTGCGCCCAGGATTTCTAAACCTGTTTAAGAGAGGTCTGTTGACAGAAAGCATTCCCAGCTTTTCTTGTTTCTTGTTTTCACCTGTCTGTGGGACTTCCTGAAGCCCATGTGTATCCAGTCTGGGTGAGAAAGCTTAATTTGTATCCTGGCACCTCAGGAAAGTTTACTTTGTAGAGGAACAAAGTGATCGCAAGACAGATAGGCAGCATAACTTCTAGGTAAAAGGACACCAGCACCCCATACCTAAACAGCTTCAGATTTAACTATGATGACACGGGTAGTCACATCTTATTTCCTCAGAGGCTTTATCCAAATTCAAAATGTTTTATCTGTATTGCAATTACCACTTTCTTTTTAATGTCCTCAAAAGCTCAGAAATAATATACCTTAAATTGGGTCTCCTATTGATAATGTTCTCTTCCTGGATCACTAAATAAAATCAATATCCTCAGTCTCCAGTGTCCTCAGCCCAGAAGCAAAAAGAGGGAAAAGCCAACAACACACAACCAGTGCCTGCTGTACACACAAGTGCCTCTCACCATCCTCTCATCCTCCAGTCTTCTCTTCCTGATCAACACACCGGAAGAGACCTGCAGGAGCCGCCTAGGCCCCTCTCAAGTACCTCGTTCCCACTGCTGTCAGCCACATCGCCTTTCCAAGGATCAGCCTCCCTCGTTGGGATTAATCCTAGGCTTTTCCTTCTCAGGGACACTGCTGGTCCTTTAAGCTTCTCCCGGCGGTTTTCCCCATAAGTGAAGAGATCAGTTTTGTTTCCCCGATCAATCTTCCAACCTGTTCTGGCACACTGGCCTCTGGGAGAGAGGAGGGCCCAAGCTGAGAAAAGCAGGTGTAGGACAGTCCACACAAGAGTGGAGGAGCACAAGGCACGAGCGCGCACACACACACACACGCGCGCGCGCGCGCTTTCTCACTCTGATAAAGGCGGTCCAGACAGCCAGGTGGAGACACAGATGGGCGGGAGGGGGGGTTCACAATCAGAAACCCTCTAGGCTGTGTCACACAGGGTGTGCCCCAGAAGAGGTCCTGTGCTCAGGACGCACTCTCAGGGAAACACTAACACACGCCCCGGAAGATGGGAAGGACACCCAGTGGAGGGGCTCACCAGCGACCACCTCCGTGCAGCCTGGAGTCAGAGGCACTCCCCTCCTTGGGGAGCAGGTGGGCCGGGAGGAGGTGGGGTCCGCCCAGATTTGACGCTGTGATAACAGTCAGTGTTGAAGGTCTGCTGTCTGGGTGGCTGAGTCACGGAGCCCAGAGTCCTGACCCCTGACCTTGCCATGCCTGTGTCCCCACTTTAGGGATCAGGTTCTGGCTTCTCTCCTGAGGGCAGTAAAGAAGCACAAAGAACACCAGGAAGTGAGTCACACCCACAAAAGGGGCAGGCCAAGGACTGGCTCCCACAAGAACTTAGTTCACCTGGGCGTTTTCTTCCGCCTGCTCTCCAACCCCAGGCTTTCCTCTCTTCTCCTCACCTTCCTACCTGCGCTGAGGTGGCTCCAGTGTCTACACCTGCCTTGCGCCGACCCACAGTTTCCTCTGGAGGCTTTCAAGTTGGGCTGCTATTCAGATCTCCCTCCAACACTCCCGCTCCAGCACTCACGTCAGGTGTTTCAAGTTTCTCAGCCTGAGTCTTCCCATCTGGAAAGTGGTGACGCTGACATCCGTGTTCCAGGGTCACTGAGCTTATACATGGCATAAGTCGTGTAAATTATGACCACCGAGGCCAGAAGAGTCACTCTGTCTGTCCCCCTTCCCTCTTCGTCTGCCTAACAGGATGGGAGGCAGAGTCACAACCATGTTCGTCAAATGAACATACATAACAAAATTTAACAAAACTAAAACATTTGATCTAAATATTTATAATATTTGGGGGTCCAAGTATATGCATTCCTGCATGGGGAGTGGGAGTTAAAGCAATCATAAAGTTAATGTTTTGTTTTGTTTTGTTTTTTTCATTAATTCTTCCTACTTCACCGACTTGACAACTTAAATATTAGAGCTGGTAGTCAGTCTCGGAATTTGACACCCGTGTTAAGGAACAGTGATTTAAACAGAAGGGACCAAGGAGCATAATGCTGTAAAGTAAAGCTATAGAAACGGGAAGGTGGCTGGACAGTGGTATTTTTAATTAACCAGAGAGACGCTCTCAGCACGCGCCGCATTCCTTCTGCATCTGAAACTCTCAGCCTTGCAGCTGGCTCCGCTGATATCGTATCTCTGCTGGATAATTTCCACTCAGGTCCTGAGTCAGTCCTGACGGCAGCAGCAAAGACACCAACACTCCGACTCCCTTCTTTCTATTTTTCTTACTATATTTCCACATTTGGGAATGTGCAGCTTTGACCCAAGGTCTTCTCCTGCTGCGGATTCCAGCCTCCTCCCATACAGTTTGGTCCTGGATGCCACACTGGCAAATGGGCCTTGTCCTCTCTGCCTGGAACAGTCCTCCTGAATACAGCTGAAACGTTCTGCAGTCCTGCTGTGGAGCTCCCGCTCCCAGACGAGCGTCCCTGCTGGCCCACACCCCATGTGTTCGCCATCACCTCACCCCTCCGGTTCACCCCAACTGCACACCCAAGACCCAGGGACCTGCATCCTGCCGGCCACACCAGGGCAAAACACAGAGCCATCTCTTCCAAAGCACCTGCTTCCAAATGTTAAACCTTTTTTTTTTTTTGGTTGTTTTTGTTTTTGTTTTGTTTTTTGAGACAGGATCTTGCTATGTAATTCAGGCTGGCCCCAAACTCACTTGAACTCAACTTTATGTTCCTGCCTCAGCCTCCTGAGTGCTGATATTACAGGCATGCACTACCACGCCTGGCTAAAACTTTTCTGTAGCATATGATCAGGGGATCTGTTAAACTGTTACAGCTTTGGTATTTTAGAGGATTTCAGACCAACTGTACTCTGCTGTATCATTTCTTGGTCACAGATTTTTTTCACTCTCATACCACTACTAATTGTTAAGGAGACCAAAGGTAATACATCTAAAGACAGGTGATAGAAGATGCAGTTTGATTGCTAGGTATACTGGCATATACCTGTAATTCCAGCACTCACAAGGCTGAGGAAGGAAGATCACCATGAGTTCAAGACCAATTTGGGCTACCTAGCAAGTTCAAGGCCAGCCTGAATTACAAAGTGAGACACTGTCTAAAAAACAAACAAACAAAGATTCACTTTGGAAAAAAATCTCAGATCAAATAAACTCTTAGTACTGTCTTTATTGTTTTGTTTACAGTACTGGGAACTGAACTCAGGACCTTGCACAGGCCAGGCAGGCATGACACCACTGAGCCACATACCCAGCCCTTCAAATGAACTTTGAATAATGCTATATCTGTACCAGTGTGTTCCCTGGTATGACGAGACCCTGCCACTAATCTTCACTTAGGCTTCAACTGCCTTCTGCGCTGAAATCCATCACATTTTTCTCCCCTGCATTGTTAGAGAAAGTTCTAGGAGAAATGTACGGTGGAGGACTCCTTTCCTGAATCAGGCAAAGCAGCACAGGATCTCCAGTCCAGCCCTTGGCTGGGGTGCTGTGTGACCCTAAGCAAGCCCATGAATTTTCCTTCCCAGACAGCTGTGTGTGAGGCAGGAGAAAATACACAATGAGTGATAATAGTACAGGGGATTATCATTATCACCACCACCCCGTGGGGAGTACCCAAGAAACCATGAATATATAAAATATATTTATAAGTCAGGTGTGGTGGTGCATGCCTTGCCTATAATCCCAGCACTTTGGGAAACTGAGGCAGGACGATCACAAGTTCGAGCCCAGTCCAGGCAACTTAGCAACTTAGTGAAAGCCTACCTCAAAATTTAAAAAGTAACACACACCTGTAATCCCAGCAGTTGGAGGCTGAGGCAGGAAGATCACCATGAGTTCAAGACCAGAATGGCCTACATAGTTGGTTCAAGGACAGCCTGAACTAACCCATCAAAAAAAAAGTAAAACAAAAAAGTAAGAAATAACTTTTTAAAAGACTTGGATGTAGCTCAGTGTGAAGGCCCTAGGTTCAAGCTCCATATCACTATGTATATATTTACATAGAAGAAGAGAATTCCAAAATAAAACAACCAAAGGGAAAGTGAACAACAGAATTGTTCTGTCCTTTTTCCTTTTTTTTTTTTTTCCAGTATGAGGAATCGAACTCAGTACCACTGGGATAAATGCTTGGCCCTGTCTCTTTCCTTTTATTTTTTTTTCTATCCTTTTAAACAAGGGGTTTAATACTATGTATCAGTTCCTCAAAATGTGTAAATAACCCAGCTTTTCTACGAGTATCTCCACTTGCTGTCTAGTGACAGAAAGAGAGATCTACAGAACAATCAAGAATCTTCACTTCTACCAAGATGAGGAAGTTTATGCCAGTGGGCAGGGGTAACGCTGGAGACACCTGTCACGGAGGCTCCGTTTGTCCCGGGAAAAAAATCTGACAGTGGCATTCATATCTAAAGACTGGTCTGACCTTACTTTCTGAAATGAAAGCCCAGCAAACATCTGAATAAAAAAGACAGCCTCCTATCAGAGAGGGAGGGCAAAGAGCCTGAGCTTACTCCCAGAAGAAAACCCTGGAGAGTTCTGCCTGGTATTTATTTACACTGAAAACAAGACTGATTCAGTGTTGCAGTGCTGTCTCTGGCGCCTCCTCCGTGTGCCCCCCCAGATGCAGCGCCAGAGCTTTATTCAGGGGAGAAGGCTAATCTTAGGTGTCCTCCTCGACCCATCTCCCCTCTACCTCCCCTTCCACCAACCCCAGGCTCTTCCCAGGTACCAGTCGGGAGCAGAGTCCTGGCTTTTAATCAGCTAAAGCTAGCCTCTGAACTCCCTGCCAGGCTCCTCCTTAATTGACATTTATATTCAGCCCAGGCTCCTCTGATCCTGGTTTTTCTTCCCCCTACTTCCTAGTAGAGTTTATGGCGTGCAGTTACAATGGCAAATATTTCTGCGGTGCCCACTACATGTTAGGTACTGTTGTAGGCGGTTTACTCAAGGTCAGTCATCTGATTCACAGATGAAGAAACCAGGAAGCAGACAGGCTAAGTGCACCTGCTGCTGAGTGGACCTGCTGCTGAGCCGATGCCTGAGTTACAGCAGCCGGGTAAGGAAATGTCTGGTTATCAAGCTGACCAGGGGTGGATTGTGGTGGATCAACTTGTGCCGCCCAGCTGAGCTGAGTCAACCTGGATCGGGTTGTGGAAGACCCGCCTACCTGAGGACTGTAGCCAGTGGATAAAAAGAAACCTGGAGGGGAAGATCTATGCTGCTGATTTTCCTGGAGGAGCTTGCTGAGGCTGGTTTTCCTGATACAAACTGGGCTGCTGTGGTGATCAGAGGAGCTCAGGCCTCCCTGTCACTGGATGGCGCTGTTCTCCTCAGGGAAGCCCTGGTCTTCGCCTGGAGCATCACTTCCGGGCTCCAGGGCAGATCCCTCAGCCTGGTGGCACAGATCTTTCACCCCACCAAAGCAGATCTTATAGCTTCCACCACTGGCCTTTGAGGCTCCCCAGGGCAGATCCTTCTTACAAACTTGCGTGAGACATTGCCGTGGGCTCTGGGCCTTCAGCTGGGTTCTTTGGGTCTTTCAACAGGTCTCTTGCACTCTTCTGCATTTGACTTTTCTGGAGGAATATTATAAAATAACCCTATAATTATGTGTCCTGTATTAAATCTATTCCCTCACAACCCCTGAGTCAACACCTGCTAAGCCATAGGAATGGGATTCCAACCCCACCCATCTGGCCTTAGAGTCTATGTCTTTTTTTTGTTTGTTTTTTTGAGACATGGTCTCACTATGCAGGTGAGACTGATCTGGAACCCACTATGTAACCCAGGCTGGTCTCGAACTCACAGCGATCCTCCTGCCTCAGCCTCCCAAGTGCTGGGATTACAGGTGTGCACCACAACACCCGGCTTAGAGTCTATGTTCTTAACATCTGTACTATGCCATACTATGGCTTAAGTAGATCCCCAAGAACATTTTTCTTTCTCTTTGCAGAATCAGAATTGTCTTTCATATTGCTTTTGTCTTTTAAATTGAGACCTCAGACTTCCAGTACTCTCTGACTGATCTATATGTCTGTCTTTATGCCAGTACCACAGAGTACTGTGGCTTTACAGTAAGTAAAGTCTCAGCCCTCCAACTCCTGTTTTCATTCTCAAGATTGTTTTGTTGATTCTGATTCCTTTGTGTTTTCATATAAGTTTTAGAATTGGCTTGACCATTTCTGGAAAAACGACGTCGAAATTTGGATTGAAACTATTTAGAATATGTAATCAATTTGAGGAGTACTGGTACTTAACCATATGATGTTTTCCTTATGTAAGACACAGAGTGTCTTTCCTTATATTCAGGTATCACTTGGTTTCTCTCAAGGTCATTTTGTAGCTTCCAGGAGACAAGTTCCACTTTATAGCACTGACAGTTCCACAGCCTCAAGAGGCTAAACCAGAATTTGTGTACGATTTGATGAAAGCAGACGATGTTCTGCCTCTCAGAGAATCATTCCTAGTGCGGGCTGGGCCTCAAATGCCCTCTTGAGACGGGACAGACCCGCCGTCTGTGTTGGTACCACAGGGTAACATGAGGGTGCCAGTGACCCACCTGGGACTGTAAAGTGGACAGAGTCCAAGGCACAGCATTCAAGGCACTGCTGTAGTGACAACAGATCCAGGGTTCCTTCCCGTGACAGCACTGAGGTGATCGAAATTCCCCAGGTTGTCGTGAAATGGCAGGACTACG